GTGTCGCTGAATGTGTGCATTGATGACTGAAAGGCATCTTCTGCCTCCATTTATCTGTTTACTACAGTGAGTTTAATTCATGTTAATGTGGATTTAAAGACATTTCAATTCAGGAGGGAATATAAAAAAAAAAAATGAATCAATCAAAAGTTTTGCGACCCCCATGCAGTGCCTCCGCGGACCCCCTAGGGGTCACGGACCCCCTGTTGAAGACCTCTGGTTTAAAGTAAAGTTTAGTTTGAAAAGAATGTGCAGGAAGGATTGAAAAGCATGTTAACACGGTAATGTAGGCTTGAGTTCTTTATCTGATCCGTGCATATTCACACCAGGAACCTGTAAACTTAATGAATTACAAAAAAACATTTATAAAACAAACATGTTTCATTGATATATATATATAAAAATTAATATTAGTAAAAATATTCATCAAACATTATACTGGGCAAGTAAAAATTGTTTCTGGGCAAGTGGTAAAAATCCTTAATGTCAACCCCTGTAAATAATACTCTTCAGTGCATGTTGATTGCAATTTTAAATTCTGCATAAATGTATTAGGGGCCCAATATTAATGTCTTTCATGGGGTCTCTAATTCCTGGTGGCGCCCCTACATACAGAGCTGAGCTCAGTCTATGATGGTGGAGAGCATCAGTCTGTGTGCACAGAAGCACGTTGGAGTGTACTTCCGCCGACTCAGAACATTTACAAACAGATGTGCGGTGATCCGTCTGATACAAGCTCTGCTTGCACGTGCGCCCACTTTCACGTTGACAACGAAAGAAACTTTGGCCATCAGTAATGAATAATGTGCTCGATAAAATACGTTAGTGCAATATTAGCATCAGTCTTTTCAGCAGATGAATAAATGTTAGCCGGTAGTTTTAAAGTAAAACCAAATGTCCAGGAGCTATTTTCTCTCTGCGCCAGTCTGTGGCGGAGCTGCAGCTGAAGCCACGCCTTCTGTTCTCTGAGATAGCTGGAACATTTTGTTTAGGAAGCCAAAATATTTAGGACGGTTGGACGGGCAGCCTCTGGTGCTTGAGCAGGTTTTTCAGCAACTCTAGCATTTTGAAAACAAATCTGCCATTTTACACAGGCAGAGGTGTAACTTCTCCGAACCCCCAACCAGGAAGACGCTAAAAACGACCAACTTTATTTGATAAGAGTTTGAGTAATGACAGATAAACACGACATCGCTTCATGTCTACTTTTAACTAAAAGTAAGTTATGGGTTTATCCGTTGGGAAGAGAAGAAGGAAGGTAAGCGGAAGAGTGCGGAGCGACAGGCGGAGCGTGGCCGCCAAGATGAAGCGGGAGGCGGTGAAGGTCCTCCGCTCCCTCACTGTCGAGAACAACAACAAACACGCTGAGGCCATGGACGAGGAAGAGGACGAGGACTGCTTCTCGATCTCCTTCCTTCGGAGTGACCCCTCCAGACCGACTGCCACCGTGTCTCCTCGCTACAGCCTGCTCCGGGAGGTGGGTCGGGGAAGCTACGGGGTGGTGTACGAGGCCGTGGCCAGGAAAACAGGGGCTAGGGTGGCGGTAAAGAGGCTCCAATGTGACGCACCTGAAAACGTCGAACTAGCCTTGGCTGAGTTCTGGGCCCTGACGAGCCTGGAAAACCGACACCAGAATGTGGTTCAACTAGAGGAGTGCGTGCTGCAGAGGAACGGCCTAGCCCAGAAGATGAGCCACGGTAACAAGAAGTCCAAGCAGTACCTGCGCCTGGTGGAGACCTCCCTCAAAGGTAACCTTAAACTTCCTCACAATCTGCATCAACCAACGTGAAAAGACCTGTCCGAGCTCCATTTAAGCTAGTAAATTAGGTTTAAAGAGGAACGCAGGGGCTAAACGGTTAACAACTTGGAGCCAAACGTTCATGCTCTGTGACCTCATTCAAAGTCAGCCCATCTTGTGTTTGACTGGATGCATGCTAACTCCAACTATTCAAGTTTGTTAACAAAAGCAGCTCTTCTCCATATATCAAAATACCATTTACTGCCCGAAATTAGAACCAGCTGTTCTCGAGTTTGCTATTTCTGCACTTAAAGTAAAAAGCTTATATTTAAATTAAAAATGTCGTCAACTATTTTACCAAATGATTAACTGGATGGAAAGAAAACCTGCAGCCACACGGCCCTTTCTGGAACCAGTTTGACATCCCTGCTCTAAAACATGTCTTTAGCTGACAGACCGACTCACTTAGAGCAGTATTTATACCAAGATTGTAAAGAAAAACATTTTGCATTTATATATAACAAAAAATGTAGTCATTCAATATGCTTTATCCAGAACTCCTCAAGTGAAAAAGTTTGAGTTTCACCAGGTTTAGTTTCCTAAAAAGAATCTTTCTGATAATTATTCAGTCAATTGAAGAAATAGTTGACAGATGAATCGATTTGCAAAACAATCAGTAGTTGCAGCCCTGATTTAAATTAGACTTGTCACTGAAGAGGAAGGTGGTTTTACTTCATGGACTCCCCTCTGCAGCCTCCTTCGTGACAGCAAAGTCGATGTACATCATCTAGAAGAGCTACAGAAAGAACGCTGTGGTTCCTACCATATAAAAGAGAACACACTGTGCTACTTGGCAGCATGTTTACAACTTTCTCCCTTACTAAACATTTGCACATGCAACACTGATACTGCATAAGAGAGGAAATGCATTTAAAAAATGCCTCTAAATTAAGGCTCAGACATTTATTCAACCAAACCAAATCGCTTTGCTTCTCCTCTCATTAGCAATGCAGTTATGCAAGTGTCACCATTTTGAATATCTATGTCGATTCTGTCAGTGACACTGTTTTAGGACAGTGGAGATTAAATGACCAAGGCACTAAAGAAATAAAACTTATTCAGTAAAGCTTCTTTGGCTTGGTGCTATAACAGAAAACAACACTGCTGTTCTTTTAACCCACTTTCAGAAGTGTGCGGTGAAAAGCCAGGCATGGCATGGCATGACAAACCAGCAGTGATTAACACGATACGTCAGTGCAGGCAATGACGCAGCTTCCTCCTTGTTTTATAATTATAGTTTCACTAATACCCAAGAGGCTTTCCTTGGCCGTTAAAGTAAACTTATTGACATGCAAATGAATGTTGTTTTTTAATACAGGGTTTTTAGATGATGCAATGTTTTATTTTAAATTTTAGGTAGGCTGTAACTAAAACTCATTTTGCTGATCGACTAACCTGTTATTTTTTAGATTATTAATTAGATTGTAAAATTATTAGTAAAATAGAAGATTTTTTACAGAATTTAAACGGGGAGAAATTAGCACTTTCCACTTCAGGAGTTCTGGGTAGAGCATATTGATTTGAATAAGAGATTTTTTTGTTTTTATTATCTTAAATGCAGTAAGAATGTTTTTCTTACATATATATATATTTTAAGTGCGTTGCTCTGTCAGCTAAGGAAATGTTTTAGAGCCGCTATACTCCAATTAATGATCGATTACTAAATTAGTTGACGATTATTTCAATAATCAATATGTCCGATTTGTTTCAGTCCTAATTGTAGATGCTATGTCAAATTACAGCTGGTGAGATGAGTGTTGGAAAGCCATGCTTTTCAGGTGAACACTGCTGGGTTAGGGTCCATGTCCCCTTTTGTTCTGTAATTCAGCTGCAGGTTCTGAAAACATACACAGTGTGTTTTTCAAGTGGAATAACCTTTATGATTCTAATAATAACTGATCAACATGATGCAAACTATGGCTTGTTCTTATGTGGAGGAAATGCAAATCAGTTCTTCTGTAGAACAAAGTAAGAACAGGTTCCAACTCAGCTCTGCTTAAGCACTGTAACCACTGGTGAGGAAAAACCCTGTTCAAATTAGCTTTAGTCCTTTTCTTTTTTCTTTTAATGTGTTAAGCTGCGTGTAACAGATCTTTAAGTTGCTTTTTAAATGCCCTATTGGTGGTAGTACAAAGGTTCAAAGAAAGGTTTTAGTAGAAAGGGGCAAAGTTTTATTAGAAATTTAAATACGAACATTAACTCTTAAAAAATATATATATTTTTTTTATTTACAAGGAACCAATGGCATACAATATCTAGCAGTAGTGATGTTTGCTTGTTAGTTAACATAGACTGCGGCCTTCAGGAGAAACTGAAGGGCATTTGGGCATAACTGGAGACACAGATGGAGACCATGACAAAAGTTAAACTAGAAAAGCCTGAATGGCCTTCTCCAAGTCATGACCATTTATAAAAAAAAAAAAGGATTTAGGCAAAAGATACAGCTCAGACGTGCTCTGTAGTAATGCATCTCTCAGTTCCTCTGCTTCATTGTAAGTATATGAGTTTTGGACAGAACTAATGTGCTGGAGAAAGTTCTCAGGCATATCAGTTATTATGCATTTTTTTATCTGTGAGTCACTGTAAAACATGATCCATCAGTAGGACAGTTTAACATAGATTATGCTGACTTGATGTAAAAGGAACACTTTTGACTTTTTCTGAGCTTTATTTAACGTTTTTTTTATTTGCTTTCACTATTAGGATAATGTGGACCTTTGAAGCTTTAACAGAATATCTTCTCTTTTCAATCTTAAGGTGAACGCATCCTTGGTTACCCAGAGCAGCCATGTTTCCTTTGGTTCGTCATGGAGTTTTGTGAAGGTGGAGATCTCAACCAGTACATCTTATCTCGGCGACCCGACCCCCAGACCAACAGAAGCTTTATGCTCCAGCTAACGAGTGCCATCGCTTTCCTGCATAAGAACAACATTGTCCACCGGGATCTAAAGCCAGACAACATTCTCATCTCACAGAAATCTGGATCACCAGTACTCAAGGTAGCAGACTTTGGCCTTAGTAAGGTTTGCGCAGGGCTAAACTCCAAGAATTGTGAAGAAGATCCTACAGTAAGAGCTGGTGCCAGAGGAAGCAATCAGAACAACATTGTCAACATAAATAAGTTCTGGTTGTCGTCGGCTTGTGGCTCTGACTTCTATATGGCCCCAGAGGTTTGGGAGGGCCACTACACAGCTAAAGCCGACATCTTTGCCCTTGGCATCATCATTTGGGCAATGATCGAACGTATCACGTTTATTGATGCAGAATCAAAGCGTGAGCTGTTGGGTACCTATGTTCGACAAGGCTCTGAGATCATACCTGTTGGAGAAGCTCTGCTTGAGAATCCCAAGATGGTTCTCCACATCCCTCAGAAAGCCAGAAGCTCAATGTCTGAAGGAGTAAAGAAACTTCTGCTTGACATGCTTGCAGTAAACCCCCAGGACAGACCAGATGCTTTCCAGCTGGAAATGCGGATGGATCAAGTCACTTGTGCAGCATGACAAACATCTTGAGACCTTTCCTCCCCCCACCCCAACTTTTTAAAGAAGGGACCTTTTTCCTTTCCAGGTAGGCTGACTCATTCTTACCTGTTAGTTTTAATTACAGTGAACATACTTGAATGGATGAAAAGCTTCTGTCAACTTGTGCAACAGATTATCCTGTTATACACTTACTTAAACCTTTTTCCTTTTAGGTATATGCTCAAAATGTGTTAGTAGAACCAGCTGCCACGGGATTAATACAAATTAAACCCTGGGCAAGACTCCTTGTAACTCAGGACTTCCTGACATATGGGTTTATACAGCGTGTGAAGAATGGGAGACAATCATCCCTGTTCTCAAAAGCCCACTTCCTCTGCTTCAACACCCTGAATTTAACTCGGTATTCAGTAGCAGTCCTCAGAAGTTGTTGTTGACGTGGGAAAAATGCTGATGTGGAGATGTGCTGCTGTTGTCGTCATAAGGATCTGAAACATGTACCCTTAAAATCACTTGCTGGTTAATAATATAAATGTACCTGACACGTATGAAGCACGCTTTAAATGCTGTTAAAATTCTTTCAATGTGGTTTCGGTTACCGCAACATTCTTTTAAAAGCTTCCCAAATTCCTTTTTTTTTTTATTGATATTTTATGCAGATGGTTTTATTTTACAGCAAGTTAGAGTTTCTGCTTACATATGTGATCGGCTCTGGATGATAGACCCCAGCAAGCACCGTGAATGCATGTATATGCTTCCTATGCTGCCAATATATCTGCAGCTGGAGACCTTTAAGGAAAAATTACACCAGACGTGTTACAGCATGTAAAGCAAAGCTACATGCGCACATCATATTTACAAGTTGTTTTTACAATGGCGACATAATATGGGCGCTGTCATTGAGTTTCAATGGTAGTTGTTACATGCTGACAAACTAAAATATGCCATTTCTAATGAGATGGTGGAGACTCTTGGGTTGTTTAACAACATGTCCATGTAAGAGGTAAAAGCTTTTTTAAATGATCACAATGATTTGATCTCCTGTATGAACTGCAGTCATACAACGCAAGTGTCCCACATGCACAGTAGAGGACGCAATGACGTCCCAGGACAGCGTGCTCTTTTTTTCCAGAAGTAAACATGGATGGTAGTGCCGGCGCACATCTAGCGGTCTTTTCCAACCATAAAAACACAATCTTTTCAATATGGCTAAACATAAATACTGCTCTCCGTATCATTATCTGCCATGGTTGTTGTTTTTCTTGCCGCTTCTGCGTAGCATGACGCAGAATAGTGACCTTTGACGGGTATTAATGACGTTCTGGTCGGATAAATTCGACCTGGCCGTTCAGACTCTGGTCGCATTTGAAAAGATCAGATTTGTACCGTATTCAGGTCCACATAGCCAAGTGGCCTGGGTTGCATTGGAAAAAACCTGATCTGTGTTGTTCAGACTGACATGAAAAGATCAGATCCAGGTCTCATATGGGCAAAAAAATTCGGATTTGGGTCACTTCAGCGATGGAGTGTCTGCTGTAAACTTCCCCTGTAGACACACTTCAGCTGCGCTGCTTACCTTTATTCAGAGCTTTAGACCAACCTTTTGCTCTGATTGTGCCTAACTTTATTCTTGGATGCAGAAACACAAATGTTAGTTGAACCTTAATTCCATTTAATGCCAAAGTTTTAGAGGTACACTTGCTGAAATTAAACATGTTAGTGTTTTAAGCTATTTTGGATTATACTCCCATTGCGGCCCCTTGGATGGCTCACTGCTGTAGTTTGGCCTCTTTGATTGTTGGCCTTGGCTAACTTATCTAGCCACACTCTCTATCACAAAACTCTTCCTGACCCTGGCTAAGATTTTGAAGCAAGCTGGCTCAGCTATTTTAGCTGAGCAGAGTTAGAGCAATATCATGTTCTTCTATGGAAATGGATAACCCTTCAGAAGCAAGGAAGGCATAGTGTAGCTGAGAAATTTTATTTTTATGTAATGGGTATCTTCATTCTCCAGAGCGATTTATAGTCGCTTAGCTTCAGTAAACCGATGGAAGCACAGTAAAGAAGTTTTAATAGTACACAAGACTTACGTCCCATGGTTTTTCGGTTACCTGAAAATAATCAGTCCTTGCTACAATTTACGATACTGTAGGGATGAAAATTAACAAATATTTTCCATGTATACAAATGCATGTCACCTTGTGATTATATCAATTTGAGTGTATTTTTTGGTTGTTTGGAGTATTGCTATGCTTCATAAACATGATTCAGAACCAGTTCATACCTCTATGGCTTCAAACAATATGGTCATTAATATTATTTTACTACTTGTAGTTTACTGATCTCACTTAAATTTTACTGATATTCAGTGGTAACAATATAGTAAAAAAACCCGTAAATTCCGGACTATAGAGCGCCCCTGATTACAAGCCGCACGCTCTAATTTTAGAAAGAAAATCAATTTTGTACTTTTATAATCCACACCAGATTTTAAGCAGCAGGTTTACCACGTTGTATTAGATATTTAGAAATAAAGATATTACGCGTGTGCATTTTTTAAATACTTGATTTAATCCATATGATAAAACAATTAAATACGGTACATATTATGAATGTTTTTTTTTTTTTCAAACTACCTGTAACACATTTAAATATGCGTATGTGTCGGTAACACGCAAATAATGCTGCATATACCGGTACTTTTAATTGAACAACGCACAGAACATTGCAGCCTACCAGGAAAAGTCATTAATCACTTTCTTCTTTCTCCTGCGCACTAAAACCCTCAAAGTCCTCTTCCTCTGTGTCTGAATTGAACAGCTTCAGGATGCTATCACTGACTTCAGTTTCATCCTTGTCGCTCTCACTTGAGCACTCGCGGTCCTCTTCATCCCGCAGCAGCCCAGCCTTCTGAAACCCGCCGGTGATGCTGGATGTTTTCACACGGCTCCACGCATTGAGAACCCACTGGCAGACATCACTGAAAGATGCCCTTCGCATGTGGCCAGTTTTGGCGAAGGATTTCTCGCCACTGGTAATCACCTCTGTGAATACTTATCAATTTTATTGGTCTGTTTTTCGCGCCATGAAAAAAAACATGTATTAGCCGCACTATATTATAGGCCGCAGTGTTCAAACAGCGGGAAAAAAGTAGCGGCTTATAGTCCGAAATTTACGGTACATGTTTTTACCTCTGCTGTATATTTCAACCAGTGCCAATATTATTACTTTTAACATTTTTATTTTCAATTAAGTGCTACTTTTTGTGGAAGTTCATCTCTTGTTTTTTTCTACAAGGCAAAATTCATAATTATAGCGGATCACAAACTTTTGGACCTGAGTTTGTTGGCTGATGGCCTGGTTCTTTTTCTTATAATTAATAATAAGCATAACTTCTGTTCCTACATGTTGCCCGGATTGTGGGTGTGCAGGATTTACTTCAGTAAAATGGTATAAACAGAAAGTTGTTGAAATAAGATGGTATCGCTGCAAGATATAGTAAAAAATTATTTCACTAAATGAGTTTCTCAATTTTGATTAATAGGATATATTTTTGGATATCTACAAAAATGATAAAAGCCTCAGAAAGGCTGCCAAGAATGCGCACAGCAGATGTCTAAACAAAGTGATAATGTTTATAAAACTCCTTCAGCATAGAATTTAGAAATATATGCTTTGAAAAATAAAAACTCAAACTACACCCAGAATATGTGTCAATGACAAATGCTGTATTTATAGACTATTCTCTATACTGAAATATCAGATATCCATTTGAAAGACATATCACTATAATGAATTAAATTATATTGCAATATGTGTGAATATTGAAATTTTGGCAAGCCCTCAAGATGTTTCTAATTATGAGAGGGATGCATCTTAGCCCTACTTGCGTGTTTCTGAGCCTTATTGTAGCTAACGAGGTGTGATAATTGCCTGGAGGGGTCAGAGAGGGCGTGGTAACCAGAGAACCGCTCATCAGAATTGGAAGACAGTATTTGAACTGGCACTGGGAACAAGGCAGGGTACAACTCGAGCCTGAAGGCAGAGTCCTCCTGTGTTTACCTGCTAACAGTAGGGCCGCGTGAGAGGAGCTCAAAGCAAGGTGTGCCAGAAATAATTGGATTCCTCCAGCAGTGATTGATGTTTATGACAACTGGCACTGAATTAAAATGTGAATTCTTTGTTTGTTTTATTCTGTGGAGCTATTCCTATATTATGTGACTTTTTTATCTGTTAACCTCCAGCCGTTAGCTTTGTTATTCATATACAGGTTTTACTCGTTCATTTGAAGTAAGAAATTAGGTTGCTGTTTTAGCTGTTAATCTTTTAGATTAATTGAAGTCATGTCTGTAGCATTACAAGGATTTATTAGTCCAATAAGAAAGGAAACCTAAAATTGTTAATTTTGAATATTTCGTGAATCAATCAAAATTCAGAAACAAATTGCGTTAAAATTTTAATAGCATAGACTTTCTACCAGCCTTTCAGTCGAACATTCCCACTGCTAGCATGCCGGGAATCCGACTTTTTCAAATCTGATCTGGGCCACATTTGTATGAGTTTTTAAATCGGGTACTGGCCGCCTCTTTTGGAATGTGACCGTGGTTTGAACAGCCAAGTGACCCATATCAGAATTAGCGTGACAATGATTTCAGTGTGTACTGATGGCAGAGGAACAAACCAATTGCAACAGAACAAACATGGAGGAAAGTGTAGACAAAGGTGTACAGTTGAGTTACAACTAAATGCTGGCATTAATACGTATCTGATAACACAGCATTTGACTACAGTTGTCTTTGCCGCTGCTCCGTCAAAGGCTGTAAATAGTTTAGCTCTTTTTTTCCTCTGCTGTATAATCCATCTACTTCCACTGCTTAACAGCTAAAAATCGATCCATAAACAGTGACTTATGGAATGTTATTGTTTTTCTGTACATGTGGGTCACTTCCTTGTGAATAGCCACAATAAAAAATCGGATGTGAGACAAAGTCGGAATGGAGTATCAACACCTGCGGCGTGAACGTAGCCACACAGTCAAATTAAGCTACGGAGCTAGTTATATACTGTCAGGCCATACAAATTTAACCC